TATATATATATACCCCCATATATATATATACATATAATATATATATATATATATATATATATATATATATATATATATATATATATATATATATATATATATATATATATATATATAAATTTTGTATAACCAATTGAGCACCTTATCTTTAGAATAAAGTTGTTCAGCCCAACTTTGATTTGTCAACCTCTTCTCCAGTTTTTAAAAATAAGTTAAGGAATATTATTATTTTATTTTTTTTCGACTTCTGACTTCTGAACAGATAAGACGCGTTTTTGTTTTTTGTTCGTAAGTTTTAGAGTTTTCTGCATTTACACATATATACACATTTTCTATTTTCTTCTCGATTACGTTTTCTTAGTATTATTTTCTAGTACTATACTTTGTTTTCCTTCCTTAATATCCTTTTTTTCTTCTAACTATTATAATACTCAAGCGCGGATGCAGCATTTTTGATGTTTGAGATATCAAACTTCCAGTCATGGAACAAACTCCAAAAATTTATGTTTATACTTATATCAAATAAGGATGCTTTTCAAAAAATTGCAATGGTTGGAGCCTGAAAACAAAAAATTCCTGAAATTTTAGCTACACTTGCTCCAAACGTGAGAGCAGCAAGTTGATAAAATAATTTTTATACTATTCTTAACAAATATTATATTTATCGAAAAATTTTGAAATTCAAAAAAAAATTCTTTTATCGTTCAATAACTATGACCATAAAAAGTTTGAACCCCCCCTCAATTTGAGGGGTTGCAAAATTTATAAGATTATTATGTGAGTTTTAAAATTGTTGAACGCTAAGAGATTATTGAGTGAGTTTTAAAATTTTTCGATGAATAAATACTTGGTTGAAAATAGTAAAAAAAATATTTTATCAACATGTTGCTCTCACGTTTGGGGCAAGTGTAGCTAAAATTTTAGGGTTTTTTGTTATAGGTTTTAATAATTGCAATTTTTTAAAAAGCATCCTTATTTGATATAAGTATAAACATATAAATTTTTGGAGTTTGTTCCATGTCTAGAAGTTAGGTATCTCAAACATCAAAAAAATGCAGCATCCGCTCCTGTTACTATAGATTTGCTTTTTACTAAATACTACTGTATTTTATATTGTGCCGAAAAAACTTTAAGTTGCCATAATCACTCCCATTTTTAAATCTGGTGACGAAACTAATGTTAACAACTACAGACCTATTTCCGTTTTACCCTGCTTTTCAAAATTATTGGAACGAATTATGTACAACAGACTTTACAACTATTTGATGTTAAACAGTTTGCTGTACAGTAAACAATTTGGATTTCAAAAAGATAATTTAACAAACCATGCTGTAATCGAACTAATTAATCATGTATCGGATGCATTCAATAATGACTATTTTACTCTTGGAGTTTTTATTGATCTGTCGAAAGCCTTTGACGCTGTTAACCATATGACACTTATAATAAAACTAGAACTATATGGAATAAAGAATAAAAATTTACTTTGGTTTGAAGACTACCTAGCGAACAGGTCACAATGTATTATTTATAATAAAAAAGAAAAAGAAAAACATATTACATGTGGTGTGCCCCAAGGTGCCATTATTATTTTTATTGTATATAAATGATTTATACTTAGCATCAAATATTTTAAATGTTGTATTGTTTGCAGATGACTCCAATCTTTTTTATTCCAACAAAGATAGAAAAGCTCTCTTTAATATATTTAATGAAGAACTATTCAAAATAAACGATTGGTTTACAAGCAATAGGCTTTCCTTAAATGTAGAAAAAATAAATTTATTTATTTTCCAAACCTAGTAAAGGTGATGATGTTCCTCTAAAATTACCCAATCTCCTAATCAATAAAACATTTATTAAAAGGGAACCAATCGTTAATTTTCTAGGAGTAATAATAGATGAAGATTTGTCATGGAAACCACATATAAAATATATAGAAAATAAAATATCAGGAAATATTTATATATTATATAAAACTAAACCATATCTTAACACCTCTTCTCTAAAAAAAATATACTTTTCATTTATTTATAGTTTTATCTCTTACTGCAATATTGTATGGGGTAGTTCTAACTATGGTAAGTTGAAAAAACCTCATAGTAAGCAAAAACATGCATGCAGGATTATATTTGGTGCCCACAGAACTTTTCAATGTGAACCTCTTTTAAGGAAGCTCGGTGCCTTAAGTGTCAATAAACTTAATATACACCAAGTTCTACAATTCACGTTTAAAACTAAACATGAACTCTCTCCTATTGTATTTCAGTTACTTTAGTGAAACCTCGCACAAGTATCCTACTAAATTTTCAATTAATATCTTTATTGTTCAATTTCAAATATAATTCAAAACTAAATTCTTACAAAATCCAATATCGAGGACCGTTTCTATGGAAACATTTTTTTCAAATTTATCACAAAAAATAATAATGTTCAACACATCTCTTTGGAAAAGTTCAGAAAAGAATTTAAGAATCTCTTATTACAAAAAGACTTTGATTTAAAATATCTCTCTTAAAAATAATACACAAATAATATAAATTATCTAAAAAAAATAGTTATTGACACTACTTCTCTTTTGTTGCAATTTTAATCTAATTTAATTTTTTGTTTGAAAACTTTAATACTTTTAATCTTTGATATAATGTGTTATATTTCAACACTAATATTTATATTATGTTATTAGTTATATTGTAACTAACGTATTTAAAATTCTTGTTATGTACTTAGCTACTCTTCATTTTTTATATTAACTGACGATTTTTTAATGTAAATTTTATGATAGGGCTTGATGATAAGACAATTTATGTCTTCTGCTTGCTCCAGTTCTCTTATTCATTAACACGATTTATTTCATTGTAAATTTTAATAAATGACAAAACTCTTTGGTTAAAAAAAAAAAAAAAAAAGACTCAAAGAGTAACTTAATACACATTATTAAGTAACTTAATATACATTATTAATAACTATTTATTTATCTACACTTATATGTAAATATATACCTGTTATATAAAATCTAATTATTATTGTAAGAGGTTTTTAACATATTTTTACTTCTATATACAAATTTTTAATATTATAGACGAGTTCTGCATTACATTACATTTTTGTTGTCTGATTTATTTTTTTTCTACAAGTTTTTCAAGAATCGATTCGCGTTCGTACATGACTTTTTTTCTTGTTTCTGTTATTTGTTTTCGGATTATTTTTTATCAAAAGCTTTTGCGTCTTGACTATCATATTTCTATTATAATTAATTATTAGTAATTATATTGCGGATATTTTATTATTATGTATAAATATTTTAAAATTTATATAATTAAATATAAAATATCTAAATTAATTTAGATAAATTAAACTGAATTGAAAATTTAAAAACTTTACAACAATGTCAACAATCGAAGAAATAGCAACCAAAGCCTTCAAAGCAGCAATCGATATAAAGGATTTATACGCTACTCTCTTGAGAAGTTATCAAAATGATATCGCTCTAATGATCAAGGCAGCTTCATATCTACTTGAGCTTCATATCTACAAGACCGTTTCATATCTACTTGTTGCACTAGCAGATATGAAACGGTCTAGTTAAATAAGAGAAAAAGCCCTAAAAGACAAAATTGATTTTTTGGTCAAAAATATTAATGAATTGAAAAAAAGATAATCATCAGCCGCGCCATCATTTGTATCTTTGCTCATGGATAAAACAGACGAGAGTAAACAGCAACGGCAGCAATTAAGTACCTTTATAGCCGCTCAAAATAAAAATATTCAAAGTTGCGAGTTAAACGTCATTGTAGTCGGTCTTAACAAGTCTAGCACAGTAAATGATAAAAAACTTGGTGAGGATTTTTTTTTTAGCAACGGGATTGAAGGATGCAACTGGTTTTGTACGTGTTAACCGCATCAAAACAAGTAAAAACAAAGTAAAGATGTCAAACTTGAACATTATCCAGGTTTTTTTACTATCTAATCTTTCATCTAGAACTGAAATACTCAAAACATGTGCCCACAACTAGCAAGAGACATACAAGGGTGTATGTGTTACAACTGGTTCGCGAAGACCGAACTTGCTAGATAAACCGTTTCGGAATGTTATACACCAAAGGACAGGTCACATCAGTTGCATTAATGTCATCGAATCAACGTCTAACTAGTGCTATGTGTTTGCATTCCCAGCCAGAGCCCTGGCTGACTACGCCAGTCGAACAGCCTCTCCTAAATTAGAAATCTCTACTACCATCTAGACGTCCTAGACCGATATCTAAAGCAAAAATAAAACCAATTTAGCCGAACTCTTTCACTGTTCCACCTAACCATCTACGCTAACCTATGCTCACTCAATAATGACAAACGCCAAAAGCGGTAGGCCAGACTCACTGCTCTGCCTAAAAATAGTTGGCCACAAGTTATATTTTTTGTGGAAACTTGGTTCACAGATTTCTCAGACGTTGCTATACCCGGCTACCAACCTCATCTCAAAGACAGAGAAAATAGGGGTGGTGAAGTTGTCATTTACACAAAAGACAATATTATACTCAATAAAGTTAATTCTACTCAGCTCAACTCAACATCAATTGAGCAAATTTGGCGAAAAATAAAAATGGGCAAAGAATCGTTTTTCCTCGGCTGCATATATCGCCCTCACGACCTTAATGATCAGTTTCTTACTCAGTGTATCACATCAATCACGCCCGCTCGGCAGATACTGCCTAATATAAACTGCTCAACAATGCTACTATATGGAGATTATAATTTCAGCCATACATCTTATGAGTCTATCGAAGTTAACGGTGGCATTGCAACAGTTGCCCACGTGAGAGATGAGCGTCAAGGCGATATCAGGTTTCAATTGATGAATGTCACCTAACTCAGCTTGTCACATTCCCAACGTATCGTAGTAGCCGACACGTCGAGCCCACTAGCACACTTGATCTGATCATTACTAACGAGCCAAACCGTGCCATCTTCATCGAACAATGTGATTCTCTCGGTAAAACTACATGGGCCAGGCACACTGCTTCATTGAAGTTCAACTCGCTGTTGTAGGCCTTGACAACTTGCCTACTTTGCCATTACGACCTCGATTTATTTGGAGCAGAGCAAATTACGCAGCAATATCCTCGCACGTTGCAGCTGTTGATTGGGAAACAGAATTCAATGCTCTAAATGTAAATGATAGCTACCAGCTCCTAGTAAATGTGTATAATGAAGCTATCAATCTATACATCCAAACAATAACTACTCCCTTCACTAAAAAACAGGAGGAATGGGTAATAGCAGATCTTATTAAGGCGGTCAAAGCTAAACGCGCCTCTTGGGCCAAGTTTGTTAATGCAGGTCGTGATGCGCACCAATTACTCAAAGAATCACATCGCATCGCATGCAAAAACATTACTAAAATGGTAAAATCTGCCAGGCTTAATTACGAAAGAAAACTCGCCAGTGAGTGCAAAAATAACCCTAAACGCTTACATGCACATGTACAAAGCAAACAGAGCGTTAGGAACACTATTACATTGCTAGAAACAGATAATAGCAATATCACTACCGATACCGGCGATATATGATCATTATTGAATAACTATTTTCATTCGGTTTTTGTTTTAGAGCCCAAAGGTCCATTGTCAGCTTTCGAAAGTCGTACTGAAGCAATTTGTGTTGTCGACCCAACAAGTTTTTCTATCGATATAGTACAAAAGTGCCTCTACCAACTTGATGAAAGAAAATCAACCGGCTACGATTGTTTACATCCACGGGTCCTTAGTAAATGTGCAACTAGCTTCGCCCAATCACTTTCACTTATCTATAAGTGCTCGTTCATGACTGGTGTAGTTCCCAACTTGTGGAGAAAATCGAATGTAACAGCAATTTTTAAGAAGGGAAGTAAAATAAATGCATCAAACTACCGGCCTATCTCGCTCACATCCATTTCATGCAAAATAATAGAAAGTATTCTTAAAACAAGTATAATGGAACTCTGTGTTGCTAATGAATTAATTACTCCAGAGCAACATGGCTTTGTTTATCGCAATGGTTGCGTCTCAAACCTGCTAGAAACTCGGGATACCATGACAGAAGCCATTCATTGCAGCCATGCAGTAGACGTCATATACACAGACTTTACAAAGGCGTTTGACAAAGTGCCGCACAAACGCCTTTTTCATAAACTAAGAGCCTACGGTATTCAAAGTACTGGATCCCAGCTTGGTTACAAGACCGAAGTCAACGATTAGTCATCAATGGCACATCACATCTGAATGGCAAACAGTCGCTAGTGGCGTGCCTCAAGGCTCGGTCTTGGGCTCATTGCTCTTCGTAATCTTCATTAATGACCTGCCGGACAGAATTAGTCATCATATGAAACTGTATACTGACGACAGTAAAATTTTTGGCGTAATCAAAAATGAGTCGGATAGCATCACTCTCCAAGCCGACATTGACAGAGCAGTGGAATGTTCACATTTTTGGCTTATGCATTTCAACATTGAGAAATGCAAGGTAATGCATGTTGGCCGCACAATTACTCAATGGCCAACATTGACGGCATGCGTTCCCTACTCGAAAAGACTGTAGTCGAACGAGACCACAATTGTTTCTTTGTCTGTAGCTTCTGTGTTTTTTTATTTTCGTCAGCATAGAGGGGCCTGGTGTAGCACGTCATCAAACTTTAAACAGATTTATTATATTTGTATTTTTTTTTTATCACTGAATGATAATATTATTATTTAATAATAACATATATTAATATTGTTGAAATGATATTATTGAAATAATATTTAAGCATCTATTATTTCAATTATTTTAGATTCTATTTAGATTTAAACTACTTGTATTATATTATAGTTATTTTTAAATTTTTATATGGTTCTGGTGACAAGATCAGTATGATCTTCTTGCAGATGCCAAGTTTATATTATACGACATGTAATAAATGTAAACTACAATATATATATATATATTTATATAAATACTTTATTTTATGTAATAATTAAATAAAGTATATACATTTATAATATAATAACATATATTTATTTATTACTATTACATAATTTCATAAGTGTTTAAAGTGTCATAAGGGCCCCGAAATCTTAAAAACTTATTCTCGATTGCGATGAAGAATATATATCACTATAAAACTTCGTTGTGAACTGCGATGAAAAATGTTGCTTTTCATCGCAATTCCTAAAAGGGTTTTATAGTTTTATTTCGTTTGGTTACAACTTGGTTACAACGCATCAACATTTGGCAATCTGGCTTTCTTTCAATCTGGCAATGAGACACCATCGCGCAGTTCTATAGCTTCTTATCTATAGTTGTTCATAGAATTTATATTACTATAAAACCCCATCGAGAATTACGATGAAAAATTGCATATGTTCAGAGAATTTTATTAATGTTAGAAGACTTTATAAGAAAATCTCTTTGGACGGTAGTTAGCTAGTAGTACTAAATGTCTGGATTTACGTCTATCTGCAAATATATGTATGCAGATAATATATTTATAGGTGAACCAACCCTTGGCAGTGGTTTGACGTTTTTGTCGGCAGAAGCGTAAACGCATCAACGTTTGGCAATCTGGCTTCACATAGAAACACCATCGCACAGTTCTATGGCTTCTTCTGCATAACCTTTTGAATAATTTAGAAGTGTATTTGGAAGTACACCAGTACAAATACATCTATATCATGTTCGATAAATAAGATTTTAATAATTGTATTTGAAACTTATAGAGATTATTTTTCGCATAAGTCAGCGGTTAAAAAAACTCAGTAGTTTGATGGATGCAAGCATAAGTCAGCGGTTAAAAAGACTCAGTAGTTTGATGGATGCAAGCATAAGTCAGCGGTTAAAAAGACTCAGTTTGATGGATGCAAACATAAGTCAGCGGTTAAAAAGACTCAGTAGTTTGATGGATGCAAGCACACAATATAACAAGAAAAAATTTATGTTAAAAAAGTTCTAATTTCAGCAACACAACAGGTTCTGTGACAAGACTTGGTTGTTCTCCTTGAGTATCCGTGTATTTAACAATACGTTTTGCTGTAATTTTTTTAATTTTATTTATATCTTTATATATTGTAATTTAACGTTAAAAAAAAACGTTGAACGAAAAAAAAAAAAAGTGTAATAAATATAGTCAATATTTTTCAAAACTATTCACAACATTAAAAATTAACAAATTTCTAAAAAACTTATAAAAACTCGTTATGTTGGAGGGATCTATCATCATAAAATTATGTAAAAATAAAACATTTAAAATTTCAAATGCAACATTCGTCTCTTCTTTATAATCTTTATCCTCCTAAAAGTAATTGAAATCTCATAATTGAAATTTTCAATCTTAGTTGGCAAACTAAACTTAATGACCAAAACCATTCTGCGTCTTAAAATCACTGTTTTCAATTAATTGCGCGACTTGTTTGTCGGTTTGATTTTGATCTACTGGAAGATTTTGAAAAGGTGTGTCGTCGAATTGCTTTTTGATTTCGGATGAAAGCTTACAGCGGTCGTCAATTTGTTTATCAACTGCTGCAGAAAGTGCGCTAATGAACTGAGATTGAGTTACCATACCTGGAGACTAAACAAACGAAAACACTCAACTAAAATACATTCTGCTACAAAACATTTTAAAACATGTATATAAAATTGATCGCAAAATGAAGGTAACTCACTGGTAATACAAAATATCTTTACTATCGCATTTTTTGAAATTGACTTTTAAGATCATATACTTAGGTCGTAAGAAAAGTTCGTAGAACTTAATCTTTAAAGTTTCAATCAGACAGGAAATAATTAAATATTTATATATTATCTTAAACTGTATTTAATTGTGAACATTTTAAATATTTATTTTAATATTTTGCATGTGTATTAAAAATACTATTTGAATTTTATAAAACATAACTATAATCGATGAATTGGTTTTAGTTAATGGTGACCAAGAACCAAAATATAGTACAGTTGCCAAGTGAGCTACTTGATTTAAAGATGGTTCTCGAGACTCTCTCAAACCGTATACAACTGAGAATATTGAACGTGTGCGAGCCATTATTGAAGAAAACCCCCGTGCAACACTTGATATAATTGAAGTCCTGACGTCGATAAATCGTTTTACAATCAAAGAAATCATTCGCAACGCTCTTAAAAAAAGTGAAGTTGAAAAAGTCCAAGACCTATTGTAAAATGCGACATATTTGAGCCAAAAAACACATTCTACGTCTTATTTAAAAGTTTTTCACTTGGATTATGTTGAAAAGGGAGACACCATTACTTGTCAATATTATATAAGAAATTGTTAGAAACTTCATATAAGCGAAATAAATATACAAAGACCTAAAACAGGCATTCAAAATTTTAAATTTTTTCATGACCCCATGACGATGGAACATAACGATGTTCGACCCCATGTAACACAATCCGTCACAAATTGTCTTAACCAAGATGGAATCACAATAAGTCAATACATAATCACCAGACTTAGTCCAATTATTAGCTATTCGACTTGATGAAAAAAATAATCTTGATGTCAATAATGACGTCGAAAGTCAAAAAATCCGCACAATAAAGGTACTTCAAAGTATACAAAAGAAGAATATTAAAAAAAACGTTTGACATTAAAAAGATGCAAATTTGTATAGATAAAAACGGAAATTATTTTGAAAATTTAATATAATAAAATTAAAAATAAAACTCTTTTTTTTTTTTTTTTTTATAGGGGAGTTCTAGGAACTTTCCTAACAACCAAAGTAGAATATTTAATTATGAATAATAGTCAAACTTTCAGAAAACTAGAGGTTTGCCATTCACCATTCGCTTTACACCATTCACCTTATTCTATAACACCTTAGTTTGATTTTTAATACCTTACTTGACCAAATGCCGTATATTTTGTCAAACAAGGTATTATAGAGAAAATAGTTTAAAAATAAAAAATTCACACAATATTTTTTTATAATTTTTAAATAGTAAAATAATTTAAACAATATTTTGAATAGTAAATAAAGCCACGCATATAAACACACAAAATGCCTTTTTATATAAGAGTTTATGTATATTTACAAATAATTTTAATTACCTGTAAAAAAAGAGCATGCGCTAAGAAGGGCAACTTTCGCAATGTTCTCCCACTTAAACCAATACTTTTTCTAAAAATAATAATATAAAATAAATTCAAAAAATCTGTATTTATGTTTACACATATCTTCAGTGCTCGGTGAATTAAAGTAAAATTAAAAAAGCTATGTAAATATATTTAATTAATAAAAGCTACATATTTTTAACGAGTTTAGTTTCATGCTTATTGCGATAAGCATGAAACTAAATATCAGTTTGCAAACTAAAGTCGCAAAAATAACAAGCAATTGTTATTTTTGCGAGTTCAACAATAAACTTTTTATTTTTACCTGATGATTGCAATAAGCATGAAACTAACTGATGTAAAAAGTAAGTAGCTTTTATTCATTATATATATATATATATATATATATATATATATATATATATATATATATATATATATATATATATATATATATATATATATATATATATATATATATACTTATACTTTTTAACTTAAATAAAGTATATTATTTAAATTAAAAAGTATATTTAATGACCTACTATAATGTTCTAATACTATATATATATATATATATATATACATATATATATATATATATATATATATATATATATATATATATATATATATATATATATATATATATATATATATATATATATATATATATATATATATATATATATATTTATAAAATTTTATAGTTATAAAGAAAAGTTAAAAAAATTTTAACTAAAGACCAGGTTTCAGTTGTCACAATATTACTATCACCTTAATTAAAAAGCCTCTAGCTACTATACAGCTCTTAGTGACCTCTAGCTCTGCTTATTTCAAGTGATTTTTGATACTTTGTTGTAGAATTTGATACTTTGTTGTAGAATAAGAGATAAAGTTTTGGGATGTAACCAATCAAAAGTACAATAGCATGTGTCTAAATGTTTAGTTGCATCCAAGTTTGCCCATTTTCATTGAATACTATTTTTCTGGTGCTCAACTCAACTTTCTTTTTAGTCCCGCCAATATATATACAACCGCATAAGTCTTTCATTAGGTAGAGTATTAGAACATTATAGTAGGTCATTAAATATACTTTTTAATTTAAATAATATACTTTATCCAAATACAAATCTAGGTTTGTATTTGAAGAAAGTATATTATCTAAAATAGTAGCTGATGACATCAGTTCCTATTTTAGATGATATACATATTATTTTTACTTTTTGTTTTTTAAATTGTTTTCTAAGTTTGGGACTGACAACCATTGTGTTTGTAATATTAATGTAAAAAATGAAAAAATAGTAGTTTCATTATGAAAAAATGGAAATGAAAGAAAATTATTATCAATTACAAATTGCATCAAATCAATTTGATGCAATTTGTAATTGATCAATGAAAAAACAATGCTGAAAAAACATCATCCTATTCGAGTTGTTAAACCTGCAATACTTAGGTTAACATTTAAGGGTTTAATATATATATATATATATATATATATATATATATATATATATATATATATATATATATATATATATATATATATATATATATATATATATATATTTATATATATATATATATATATATATATATATATATATATATATATATATATATATATATATATATATATATATATATATACGTATATATATGTATATATATGTATATATATATATATATTTATATATATATATATATATATAAATATATATATATATATATGTATATATATATATATGTATATACATGTTTTTATATATATATATATATATATATATATATATATACATTATATATATATATTTTATATATATATATATATTTATATATGTATATATATATATATATATGTATATATATATATATATATATATATATATATATATATATATATATATATATATATATATATATATATATATATATATATATTTGGGTGTCTTAAAAACATAGTTTTCTTTTTAAACATCTCAAGTATTTTACATTCTCTGAGGGCCCCCGAGGCTAAAAATAAACAAAATAAAAAAATTCGCTAATCAAAAAGTAATATAATATAAAATAAAATAAAAATTAATTTTTTGAAAATAAATTTCCATTGTTTAATTAGTTAGTAAGAAATTTTTTTTCTTGTGTTATATTTTTAAAAATAAATTTATTGATAATTTCATATTACTGATTGAGTTTAATATTATTATTATTATTATACATGCTTATCTTTTTATAAGCATATGAAATTACAGGCTTAAATATCCTTATGCAAAAATATGTTTTAAATATGTTTTACAAAGCTCATAAGTATACTTAAGGATATTTCTTATAATTCAATTAAATAATTTTTCTAATTTTTTTTTTGTTTTTTAGGTGCCCTAAGAAGACCTATTGGTTTTGTCACAATGCACTTTGGGAGAGAATTTAACTAGAAAGTTTACAGCTCTTTTCTTACTGATGGCGCAAAATATGCTCAGAGCTGGCTTCAAAACCTAGACCTCTTGCTTCTAAAACAAGCACTCTAACCACTGCGCCTAAGCTGCTTGAAAGCTATCTTATAAGATATGCTTATTTCAACACTCTTTAAAAACATGCGTTTTTCCAAAAAACTTTATTTTTTCTTGATCTGATACTTTAGTACTTTATTTAAACACTAATACTTTAAAATACTTTTATAAATTCAGTAAAAACATTTTTGTTTATATTGTTTAGATATATTACTATGTTTTCTACTACCAACTGTCATACATCGTTCATTTTGGCTTTTTCCTTTTGATTTTTACTTTTTTTTTTGCATTCAAATTTTCAGTACTCATTGTAATAAAAAAAAATTATTAAATTATAGAAACAAATAGTATTAGTGTTTAAATAAAGTACTTCCAGTACTTTATTTAAACACTAATTAAATGTGTTTTATACATCAAATCAAAAAATACATAAAAGAGTTTTAATATTAGCAAAATTATGCTAAAAATATAATATGCTTATCATTTGCATTGCTATCGATAATATGCTTATCATTTGCATTGCTATTAACAAAATATGAACCTAGATATGCTTTTAAGTATGTTTATATAAGAAAATTCATCTGATATGTCAATTTAAGCCTTTGGTCTGAACATAATTTGCAGTTTTTATCAGATTTTGAAATATGTACTACATGTACAATTTTAATGTCATGACTACATGATGCATTTTACAGATTAAAAATTAAAATAAAGATTTACTAAAAATTAAAATAAGATTTAATAAACAAAATTTTTTAAATTATATATCTAAATACAAAATAATAAATACCAAATAATGTTAATACAATTTTTAAATAATATTTTAAAAAAATATTTAAAATATAAATAAGATAAAGCGTGGTAAAATGAAACAACTTTGTGAAATATAATAGTACTTTTCTTGTGACAAAAAAAATAAATTTGCAAAATTTCTTGTTTACTAATGATATTGTTTATTTTCTTTATAATTATAGATATTGTACACCTTCATTGTATGCCTTCAGGTTCTAATATTTGGTTCTTCCCAGTATGTTGGATAATATCACCTGTAGAATTTAACATTCTGCTACAGTGTTGGTTTTTACATCTGTTCAGAGACAGTGATTTAATGGTATATTTCTTTTAATTGGTTAATTCTATTTCATTAAATCATAAATCATAGATTTATGATTTAATATAATAGATGTATTTCAGTTAAACTTGTTGCATTCGTACTAAGTTTATATTGATCAAATCATTGGTTTCTTGTGATATATCATTTTGATTTCCATGATTACTTGCAACAACGATTGCAATTATGCAATTATGCCTACGCTTAATTGCAATAATGCCTAATGGTTCTATTATTCTATAAGTTCTACTGTTGACAATTTCTTACTTTGTTTTACAGGTATATATCTACATTGAATGTTTTACTGTCTGTAAACAATTTTAGTAATTGTCGGAAAGTTGCTTTAACTGTTTTAATAACACATAGACCTAAAGCCTGTAAAATAGTACGTGTATGGGCAGGTAAATAAAATAGTGAAACCTTGTTTACAACAACCTAGCCTAAACTAGTTTTTGATATGTGAGAGTTGTATCTGTCAAATACTAGAAACAACATTTCTAATTTTTTTTATGGTGCAGTAAGTATTTTTTTCAAACCATCTGATGAATCATTTTTAGTTGAAATACCAATATTTGTCTTGCTTTTGCAGAGAATTTTCTGGTTGTCAATGTTGGTTTGAAATTCACCTACATTAAATACATTTTATGTTCTGTAGATAAACTCAGTAACTGTTAGTGTCTCAAAAAAGTCATCAAATACATTACCATTGCATGTGTACACATGATTAGCAGGAAACGGTTGTCTAATCTAACATTTCTTCTATAAATTCAATCATTTTTTAAGGTTCTGCCGCTACTGCCTAATTCTACCTCACATTCAGTCAAAACTGCTTATGTAATCTTGTAAAATCCTCACAACATTGCAACAATGTATTCTAAAGCCTTTGTTTTGCTTGTAAACCTGTAAGTAAAGAGCGTGGACAGCTGTGGCAGCAGGTTTCCGATTAATAAAATAAAAATAGTTTTAATGTTACTAGCAGAGGAGTATGAGATAGATTAACTATAAATATGAAAAATTATGTTCTGGCAAATAAGGATGAAATTTTTTTTTGATGAACGCGGAGTAGAAATAACTGAATATGATCTTCTGGTTCAAGAATTAATAGATACAGGGTGGCGAGCTAAAAGTAAATTTAAAAATCCAGGATATTTCCAGGATTTTCAAGGAAACTTTGGGTTATTCAAAGATATATTGACTTTTTCTTATCAATAAAATGGACCAGTAAATGCAAAATACATTGTCTTAGAACAAAACAACTAAACATTTATATTTGAATACACATATAAATCATATATGAAGACATATATTTATGTAAAGTTTGTTTAATTTCATACAAATATATATATATATATATATATATATATATATATATATATATATATATATATATATATATATATATATATATATATATATATATATATATATAACAACTCTTTTATTTTTATCTCT